GACTGTCCTGCTGCCTAAGGACCTTGCCTGATGAGCAGGCACTTGAGGTTTGTATTTCCTGACATGTGTTCTTTTCGGTCTTTTCCCCCTTATGATACTTGGCATAGGTATGAATGAGTGAAATGGTCCCTCCTTCCGGGTTTTGAGATGACTACATGCATTTAAAACATGGATCAAACAACATCCCTTTAGTTTTCAGAGCGGGATCTTTTTTTGGGAGACAATGGGACAGCATTTTGAGAAGCCATGGACAATGGCATAGTATTAACATTGGTGAAAACATTACCTTGTAATGGCAAAATCTTCAATATCTCTAAAGGAGATTTCTCAAAGACTTTCAGATTTTGGAGGGAAAGGTACTAGGGATTTAATCCAGGGACAATCTACCACTGAGTTACATCTCTACCCCATCTCATTCTTTATTTTGACATGGTCTCTAAGACACAGGATCTGGCCTTGCACTTGAGATTCTCCTGCTCTTGACTCAGTTTCTGAGTCCTGGGATTATAGGCATGCAGCATTGCTCCTGGCACACACAAAAATGTTAAGGTATTGCATACATGCACATGCAACTTAGGATCCCTCAAACAAGAGGTGACCTTGCAAGTGTAGACTTTCCTATGAAAGTGACCCCTGTAGAACCCATACATGAACATACAAGTTCTGAGAAAAAAGTTGCATGTGAGCGTTCCTGCACTCCACTACCCAGGATTGGATTTTTCCTTTGCATTCTAACACTCCCCAATATCATGTCATTAAGATCCACTTGGCCATATTTTAATTTCTTTTTCTTTTGAATCCAACAGATCCTAATGAGATCAGGAATGTCTGCAACATTATCTTATCAAGGTCTCAGGAATCATCTCTATGAAGATAAAATGCTTTTCTTTTATTAAAATTGTAATTTCTTTATTTCTGTAACGTTGCAAACCCTGTCTAAGGGATTTCCTGTCAGTTCTCTTCTATACCTTTCTTGCTATTTCTGTATTCCTAATTGATTAATAAATTTGATGTTATATGCACAAACGTGTGTCTTTTGATAAGTTTATAACAATTACAAGTTACAGAAATATCTACTCTGATGAACTATTCAACATTGAGTCTACTGGATACAGAAGGTCATTTTAGTTAAGGATGATTGTGCAACTGCTGATTGTATTATGAGTACAGAGGAAGGGATGGGCTACAACATCACACAGATGTGAGTGTGTTATTCTTTAGATATGAAGGGACCCAAAAGCTCATGTGATAGAATGGAATGATGTTCAGAGGTGAAATGATTAGATATGAGAGGTGTGGCCTAGTCAGTGGATTAATCTACTTGAGTGGACTAAATGAATGGTGATTGTAGCAGGTGGGGTGTGGCTGGAGGAGGGATTCCTTGGGCTGTGCCTTTGGGATTTCTATCCTGTCCCTGGTGATCAGAGCTCTCTCTGCTCCCTGGTGCCCTGTCCTGAGCTGCTCTCCTCCTGCAGGCTCTTCAAACATTTTGTTCTGCCTCCCCTTGGGCCAGAGTCATGGAGTCAGCCCACCATGGGCTGAACCTCTGAATCCATGAACCACAAATAAAAATTCTCCTCCTCTAAAATTGTACTCATAAGGTCTTTGTGTTGCAACAGTGAAAAAACTTACTAAAAGTGTTCTTTTATGATGGAACAGAAAATAGTTTTTTTTTTATCAGATATAACTTAAGAGGTCAGGCAGTGTATCAAGACTGGGCTTAAAAAAGAAAAGAAAGAAAGAAATTAGGAAATGATAGAGACTTACAAGATGCAGTAAAATGCCTCTTCTTACATGGATGAAGGTAAGAGTCTGTTTAGCCTGAAAACGGAACATGGTAATTCCCCCAATATGAGCATGAAGACCTAAGAAATAGAACAGAGGACACTGAGCCAACGTCACATGAGACTAGGCCTCTGATGACTGACATGTTGACAGAAATACATTCTTGGGGGAAGTCAAACTTGTCATGAGGGAAACTGGATAGACATTTGTAGAAAAATAAAGAAGGAATCGTGTCCCTCACCCTGCACAAACACTCATATCAAATTGGTTAAAAAATGTAGGAAATAGACAAGAGACTTCCAAACTTCCAAAAGAAATACAGGGTCAAAAATCCAACATACAGGTCTTCACAGGTACCATTAGTGTAGACCCTACAGCGAGTACCCTAATACTTTCAGAGTGATTGGCTGTGGTTGATCCATGTGTTGGTTGACCCAAGGGGAATTCAACTGGATAACTTGAAGGAACATGCATCTCAAATTAAAAAAAAAAAATATATATATATATATATATATATATATAAAGGAATTATTATTATTATTACTTTTTTGGTAATGTCTTCTTAAATTCAAACATGAACTGGTTTGAGAGATGCTTTGTTACCTTGCATTTGAGGTAGAGATGCCGTAATTTGGTAAGGCCACAGGGTATCATCTTTGGTTTTAGAAGTAACTTTAAGTATTCAACCCAAAGGTTAAAGAAGTGATACAGGAACTTGAATAGACGTTTTATCCTTGATCTTCCATGACAGCCATCAGAATCAAAGAGGAAATAGACATTACTGTCCTTGGAGTCAATGACAGGCTCTGTGCATGAGTCTATTATATAAAGGTCAATTATCTGGTCGTACTTAAGCTTTTGCTAATATTAATCTCATTAGTTAAATAACAGAAGATCCTGGATGGTCCATCCCAGCCAACCAGGAAACACTGAGCAGACAGAAGGTTCAGGATGAAAAACAATGGATCCATTGCTGCTCATGCCAAATCTCCAATAGTATATAAAGAGGCAGAAAACTCATTCTCTCTAATTGCTCATCTACAGTGAGCCCCCGAAGGATAGGAAGAGAGATTGCAATCAAGATGAGGACCTTTTTGCTCACTCTCGGATTTGCTCTGATCTGTGCTTCTTCCCAATATGACCCATCAGAGGTACCTGGATGGGATGATTTGGGAGTGATCTCTTCCTGGCTCCTTCTTTCTCTCTCTCTTCCCACATTTCTCAATTTTAAGTGACATGGGATTTTAGGAGCATCTCAGCCCACACATATCTATAATCATGAGATGATTCTCCTCTACTTCTGTATTCTGACTCTTTCTGTGACTATCATATTCCTCCTGAAGTAAGGAAGTTAATAAATGCTAAGGTGCAACAGTGTCACCTACTAGATCCCATACATTTGGTGATGTTGTTCAGCTGTTTCACCGCCTCTCAATTCCATGCTCCCTGTGGGAATCTGACCTTATTGGATGGGATTCTTCCTCTGGACAGCAGAGCTTGCTTGGCTACCTCCTGACTGGGTTTGTTGTTTTCTTCTGAGCTAAACCAGCTGCCATGGTTCTAATAAGTGTGGATGAGAGACGAGAAGGAGGAGCCAGTAGCCATTCCCAGGGGACATTTTCTTTGCAGATCACTGGGGAATGGCGCACCATTCTCATGGGAGCTGATGACTTAGAGAAGGTTAGTGAAGATTCAGACATGAGAGTCCGTTTTCGTCACCTTGAATGTATTGATGCATGTGAGAAGTTAGCCGTCACCTTCTATGTCAAGTAAGTGAAAATTGTCCCCATGTTAAAGAACTAAATAGTTCACTTCTGACACTTGGTCTGGGCTCCAATCCATGGTGAGACGTCTTGATGATGCTCACAGAATGGAGTCTTCTGACTTCTTCATGGACGTGTGTTCTTGCTTGTGAGGAAGCTGGACATCAACAGGAGGACCCGAGAGAATCACCACTATTTGGTGTTTTCTTGAAGGAGATTGGGGTTTTGAGATCCTGTTGAACCATATGCCCTAACATAGAGACCTCGAGACAGTGAGCAAACACTCTTACCTTTTAATCCTGAGCTGAGTGCAAAGGTCCATCAGACCCCTGCATGTGTGTTGGGCTCTTTCCATTATCTGTCTATTGACAATAGATTGCATCCATTATCTTTAAGCATGAATTCAAAAGAGCAGGATCTACACAGTAATCCATGTCAATCATGATTCTCCAGCTGACATTTTCTATGACAAAATTGATTCAATAGAAATGTATTTGCACACGCAGTTAATATCTGTAGAATGATTTGGGTTATGTGGATATTGGGATTGTGTGGCAAATATTTAAAATCTATATAAGATATAAATGTAACATATAGGTGTTATATAGAATGTCTCATTTTCATGGTTCCAATTGAAATCATTGCACATAAGAATGACTCAATGGAAAACCCAAAGACAAAGTGTATATAAATAAACAAGTATAATGGTCCTTGAAATAAAAAATAAAAACACAAATATGACAATTACATCACACAAGACTCGAATATTTTCAACCAAGACCCAAGAGAAAATAAAAATGAGAGCTCATTCATAGGAAGCAGAGTCTGTTTATAATTCAGACAATGAGTTTCAACGCCAATTGGTCATTGGAGTTTTCAAAGATGGATCTCTTCCCATGCTGATGCCTCCCCCCACCTCCCAAAAAAGTTGAAGAGACCACATGACATCCAAATACCTCCTGTTAAATGATTATTGATGAAGTTGAAGGTGAGTTGAAGTTTGAGATATCCGTATTGGGTCTTTTTCAAGCCCAATACAAAGATTTTTGCAAGAATAAATGAGAAAAAAGGGACCTTCTCTTGGTTTGTCTTTAAGGTCCAATGGGGAGTGTCAGAAGTTCTCAGTGGTGTCCACAAAAGGACCTCATGATGTTTTTGAAGTTGAGTGTGAGTATTTTCTCTATTATTGATTGCATGACCCAAGCCTTGCGGGGTGTTCAGATTCATCGTCTTGGTAGGCACACACACGGGGGTCTGGACACTGTCCACCATTAGCGAACTTCTCCTTGCTCATGCCACCTTGGAAATGCTGGTGAACTGGTGAGCTTTGGAGACACCAGAGAGAATTAGAACAAGGTCCATATCATCTCAGGTTCCCAGGTGGGATGTTGGTATTAATGATGAGTTAGAAGGGTTCTCTTTTTGTATAGCTCATGTAGTTCTCTGCATGGAGAGCTGTTTAAAATGACCTTCAATAAAACCTACATTTTTGCAAAATTAGCCTTCTTCTCTGACAGATATGATTAGTCTTGCTTTTCATTGAACAAACAACCTGAATATTAAAAATATGTGTAATAGACCCACTCTCAAGTATTTATGATCTGACAGTCTGAATCCCCAAATGTAAGAATGAGAATAGTAAAAAATAACAACAAAATATTTAAACCAAATTCAACCCAATTTAAACTTCAGCTAAAACAACCCCCCAAATAATAGAGACTTCTATATTTTTGCTTTAGCATAACAAAATTTTAAAAAACACATCCTATAATATTAATAGACCAATTGCCTACATGTTTCATTTGATGGAGACAGAAATGTTCACTGTTGTATTCTAGTCTTGATCAGATAAGCTTTATTTTTCATTGGAATATGAATATACAGCAATATGTTTCAATAAGGTACAAGTATATTATGATATGCATATATATGAGAGAGAGAGAGAGACAGAAAAAGAGAGAGACAGAGAGAGATTGATCCAGCACTTTCTATGCTTCAATTTCAATGTGATGTATTCATTCAACATGGGTGGAATTAATGATAATATTGCTTAAATTGGATAATTGGGTCAGAAAATTGCTGGGGATTTGAAAATTTGTTTCTGTGGGATGATTTAGAAAGTGCAAGCTCTCCACCCCCACTGGTTATATAGATCCTGCAACCAGGATCTTAGCTCTCAGGAAACTACTTGCTATCCATGAATGCCTAGGCAAATCCAAGGAGGAGTTGTCTTTACCGTGTTCAGATGGGGACATGGAATTGTTGGCCCTCTCTGCAGCTTTTGTGCCTGGTTCTAACTCAGGACGTGGAACATTAGTGAAACAGAGATTGTTGGGGAAAAAGAATCCATGATAATCCATGATAGTGTGTTGCCAGCAACTCACACCAAATGACTTTTTAAGAAAGGTGATAATTTAGAGTTTTAATGTGTTTCTTTTTCAATGACAGATGCAGGACAAAATTTCTTCCAAATCGAGTACTTCTCCAAAGGTATCATAATATTTTATAATATACATGTGGATGGAAACGGCAAGGTTACTCATATGACTAATGTTGGTGGTAAGTATAAGGGACACTTATCCCTTGAAGCACAGCATAGTAATTTCTTTTTTTCTTTCTTATTTTTTTAAAAGTTGAATTCAGGTTATATGTCTATACTTGTGAATATGCAATGCTGAACCAATTCTTATCAAAAATTATAAAGCACCAATGAACAATATGGAAAAATACTTATGTATATTAAAATTCAAATTAAGTTCATTCATTTCAGTATTAATGACCATATTGATCTCCACTATCAATCCTTCATCTTATCATAATTGTTTGAATACTTTCAAAACTTAAAGTTATTCAAGAGCACCACTCATCACATATGCTGCTCCAATGCTTCCAGGGACTGAGACTTGTGTCTTGCCTCCAAAGCAAGCAAAAGCTGAATTTGAACCTTTAAGGTCATAGATACAGCTTTGAAATTGATGCAGCTTGAAACTTATTTTATCAAAGATTAAAAAAGGATTTTCTTTTTTTGTTGTTTTTTTCTTTTCTTTTTGTTTTGTTTTTGCTTTGCATTAGCAGAGACGAACATGCTAATGTGTGAGGTGAAAAGTTCAGAACAACACCACCCCTCTTGTGATATTGAATATTGGATAAATTATCCAGAATACTGGGGCACTAACTGTAGAATGTAGACAGAGTTGAAATGAGAAACCACAGTACAGAATATTTTCCAACGCTTAGGCCCTGGAATTGTTCTGAAAAATGCAAAAATACTAGGCAGATTTGAATTCACACAATAAAGGGTCTTGAATGCCCTCAGAAGTCCGAAGAATTGCACATGATATGATTT